AAAAAAAAAAAAAAAAAGAAAGGATTTTCAGCCGGGTGCAGTAGCTCATGCCTGTAATCCCAGCACTTTAGGAGGCCAAGGTGGATGGATCACCTGCGTTGGGAGTTCAAGACCAGCCTGACCAACATGGAGAAACCCCGTCTCTACTAAAAATACAGAATTAGCTGGGCCTGGTGTCGCATGCCTGTAATCCCACCTACTCGGGAGGCTGAGGCAGGAGAATCGCTTGAACCGGGGAGGCAGAGGTTGCGGTGAGCCAAGATCGCGACTCCAGCCTGAGCAACAAGAGTGAAACTCCATCTCAAAACAAAAGGATTTTCTTCAAAATAAGGGTCTTCCAAATTTCTTACCTACCCATATGTGATTCAGCGTGAAGAAGAGCAGAGTCTGCTGCCCCCTTAGACGGCAGAGCTAAGTGAGTGGAAAGAGGATGGGAGGAGACACTGCCCGCCTCCTGGGAGAGCTGCGGGGAATCTCCTACTCGGGGGACCAAGAGTTCCCAGCAGCACTGCTCCCACTCCCAGAAGCCTGGGCCACTGTCAAGCGGCTTACCCACCGTTTGTTTAGGCCGGTGGTGACAGCACAGACATTTCTGAAGAATTTACTTGTTTAATCAATTAGAGCAGATTCATGTAACCCTTGCAGTTGTTCAAGCGATCCTCCTATCTCAGTCTCCTGAGTAGCTGGGACTACAGGCATGTGCCACCATGCCCAGCTAATTTTTTTATTTCTATTTTTGTAGAGACAGGGTCTCATTATGTTGCCAGGGCTGGTCTCAAACTCCTGGGCTCAGGCAATCCTGTCACCTGGGCCTCCCAAAGTGCTGGGATTGTCAGAGGCGTGTGAACCAGAGCAACTCCATCTTAAACAGGAGCTGGGTAAAATGAGGCTGAAACCTACTGGGCTGCATTCCCAGGCGGTTAAGGCATTCTAAGTCACAGCATTAGATAGGAGGTCAGCACAAAATACAGGTCATAAACACCTTGCTGATTAAAACAGGTTGCAGTAAAGGAGC